TAGTCATAATATACATGTACATGTATGTACCTTTAAATGATGTACATGTACATGTACAATGTTTATTTCATATAATATATTTCTTTAGTTTCTTACTTCTGATCCTACTCTACAAGATGGCAGTGTCACATGCCACATGAATTGAGGTAGAGCAGCATTAGGAGGATCAGTGTGTGTCCTTTGGTGGTGAGTGCTGCTGGTACTGGTGGGGTCTTGTTGTTTAGGTAGAGAGAGTTGGAGTGAGTGCAGGGTGTGTTCCCAGTCTTGTCTGTCCTTCTGAGATGAGAAGGTAATGGATACTTTGTTTGGAGGAGAGCTACAAATGAATGATGAAGATAGATAATTATCATAATAATATTGATATGATTTTATTAAAATAGTTTAAAATATATTATTGTCCTTATGCTACCGTATACGTTCAAATTTTCGAGGGTTCAAAATTTCGTGTTTTCAATGAAATGTGCTCAAAAGTTAATATTCGTGTGAGCTAATTTTCGTGTTCTGGCCATAATCTACATACAATAGAATGGCATTAGAGGTGGTTTAAATTTCGTGGATTTAAGGTGAGCACGAAAATAACGAAATTTAATACACCTCGAAAATTAAGACGCGTACGGTATGCAAAAAGTTTGAGCTGATTTCGACTTGAATTTTTAAAGTTACAGCCACTTAAAGATATTGGCCAAAATCTGAAAAGTCCCCTGTACTATATAGCCCATGGTTTTTTCTAAAAAATGGCTCCAAAATCACCCCCAATTTTTATTACATTTTCTAATACATATTGATGTACTTATGTTGTGTAGAAAGTTTGAGCTGATTCCGACTTGAATTTTTTAAGTTACGGACATTTAAAAAAACCGATAAAATCTGAAAAGTACCCAAGGCTATAGCCCATGGTTTTTTCCAAAAAATGGCTCCGAAATCACCCCCAATTTTTATTATATTTTCTGATACATATTGATGCCCTTATGCTGTGTAGAAAGCTTGAGCTGATTCCGACTTCAATTTTTCAAGTTATGGCCATTTTTAAAAAACAGCCAAAATTTGAAAAGTACCCAAGGCTATAGCCCATGGTTTTTTCTAAAAAATGGCTCAGAAATCACCCCTAATTTTTATTACATTTTCTGATACATATTGATGCCCTTATGCTATGCAGAAAGTTTGAGCTGATTCCGACTTCAATTTTTCAAGTTATAGCCCTCTAAATCTATGCTTTTTCCCCACAAGACTAAATGGTACATTTGTACATATACAATTATACATGCATGTACATGTACATACATGTATACTCACCTGTTGTGGATGGTGATATCAACTCTAGCTCTCTCGTGTGGTAACTGAAGATTATCCATTTCCTGTCTCTTGGCAGACATTACATCTCTCAATGATCCCAGCATCTCCTGTAGTACAGCATTGAGTGGCTGATGGGGCGAGTGAAGAGATGAAGTTGAGGATATCATTTGCAATAAAATTGCTTCATCTTCCAGTAGATTATGAAGCGTCTTCTCCAAAGTGTTGTACTTTCTTCTCTCTATAAGAGGAGCTGAAAGAAAGAAGAAAATGTTACCAGGGTTACCCACAAAATATGCTAAGTGAGCTAAACAGCACGAGCTTCATGAGCTGATAAGCACTACATGGCATTTAGAGCAACTTTAAAAATTCGTAAAAAATCCAAATTTGATCGG